GAGCCGGCCCTCCGAGAGCTGTGGGCACAGGGACATGGGACGTGCCCAGAGCAGCCCCAGCACAGCCCAACAAGCTGGTTGGCTGCCACCCTGTAGTGCTAGCACCATATAAATGTGGTCCATTTAATAATATCGTCTCTGTATGAAACCTGCATTCTGGTGATCATTTCTCATCTTCAGTTACAAAACCATTTGTGTTACCGTTAACACACCTGTCTACCCACAACAAAGTTCTCTCCATTTCCAACCCCCACCATGGTTCATCTGCCCAGTCCTCTGGCCTCCGACAGTCTCTACTCTCACCCTGGACACCTCACTCCAGCACAGCTCTCCACACTCCATCTTACAGGGATCTTTTCAAACCCCTTCCTTCCTGCCCAGGGCTTCTCGTTTCTTACATAAAAACCCTCACTGGAGCCGCAGGAGCCAGGCCTGCCCACCTGGTGCGCCTCTTCCTGATCCTGGCTCCTGTCTCTCTGGCCCCCTGGCTGCTCCTCCTGCTCCAGCCCCTCTGCTCCTGTGGGAGGGATTTCCCAACTCCTCCCCCAGACCCCAAAGTCAATTCCTTTTTGATCTTCAGTATCAGCTCCAAAGTTCAGTGTAACTTCCCCATGGTGAGGCCAGATCAGTTCTCCAGTTACCTTTCTAGCCGTTGTCACCCATAATCAGGGAGTTCTGCAGTGACGCCCCTCCCCCGACCAGACTGCCCGGGGACGAGGCTGTTTCTGTCTTGTTCCCTGTGCTCCTGCACCCGGCACAGGGCTCCCAACAGGAGGACGCTCAACAAACCCTAGAGTGGACGTTGGACGACAAAGACCTCTTGTTCGCAGAATAATTTTAACCCACGTGAAGCCCGGTTCTAAGGCAGCCAGAGCCCGAGACACTGTGTCCCGGTGAAGGCCGCAGGGCTGGCTGCCGCTGATGGCAGGAGGCCCGGCAGAGCCGCCTGGGGGAACGTGTGACTCAGGAAGGGAGAAAGGAGAGGCCTTGATAAGTGATAAAGTACAACCCAAAGTATAAAAATCTTATTTTGAACAAAATGTAGACGCTTTTAAGAGTGCCTAATTAAAACAAAATAAGGAAATCAAATCAGCGAAGAAAATAGCTCTTCAGAAGGACAGGCTGCTGCCCTGGGGGCTGGCAGGTGCACCCGGCCCAGGGGCTGGCGGGGCTCGATCCCACGGCCGCACGCACACTGGGCGGCAGCTCAGCACCGGAGGTGTTGGAGCCCAGGGCGTGGCTCCGTGCCCCCTGGGTGACAGTCCCGGGCCCGCTCTGATCTGCCTGGTTCTGGAGACCGGCGCGGGCCGCCAAGCTGGTCACGGAAGCGGGGCTGCGGCTGCGGTGAGCACCACCGCCACGACCCCGTCGGGGCTGCAGGCTGCCGTCTCCCTCGGCGGGCCAGGTGGACCGGCACAGCGGATGGACCGCCCTGAGTCATCGCAGCAGGGCCCTCACTGGAGATGCCCTGCTCGGCAGGGTGTGGGCGCGGGCGTCCAGCCAGGCTGCGCCGAGACCTCGGCCCGCGCTGCTCGTCCACGGAAAGATCGCCCCAGGTCCAGGACTGCCGGGTCGACCCTGCGCGGTTACCTCGGGCTCACGGCGTCCACTGTGGAGGAGGCGTGGACCTTACCCTCGGCTCACTCTCAGCCGCGAGGGCTTCGTCAAGGTCATGGGCACCCCGAACTTGCCCAAGCCTCCGCAAGTAGACTTTGCTGTTCCAGCTAATGCGCTGTGGGTCCAGACCCCGCCCTGAAGGTCTCTCTGCAGGGCTTGTACCCATCAAACATGCACTGGGTGGGGTGAGGGGAGAGGTGCGCCCCTGGAGCACCTTCTCTTTCCCTCCCTCACCGGCCCCAGCTTCTTAAATACAAATATATATATATATATATATATACTTTTTGCTCCAAAGAAAAGAGGCGGGGCTGCTCTCTGACCCCGCTCACAGGCTTCACCACCCAGTTCTCCCCATAGAGAAAAGGCATCACACCCCCCTTGCTTCCATGTTTCCAAAAAAACTATTGAGTCAAATAATATCATAAGTACCCTATTTATTTATTTTTAAAAATGTTTTTTTTTCTTTATTGATTTTAGAGGGAGGGGGGGAGAGAGAGATAGAAACATCGATGAGAGAGAACATCCATTGGCTGCCTCCTGCATGCCCCCCACTGGGGATCGGCCCCACAATCTGGACATGTGCCCTGACTGGGAATCTGACCTGCGACCTCTTGGTGCCTGGGTCGATGCTCAACCACTGAGCCACTCCAGTGCGCATAAGTATTCTATTTAAAACAAGCATGATTATATCATTAATTTTAAAAAGACTATTTTTGTTGTCAACATAAGAAACATCCAGACCCATAGAGAATTTTTATGAGTTTATTTAAGCCAAATTGATGGCATATGCCTGGGAGCAAGACCTCGAATGCTCCGAAGAATAACAGTTTTGCAGCTTCTTTTATACATCTGGAAGTAAGGAGGGCTGCTAGGAAGGCGAGGAGGAGGTGGGAGAAGGCAAGGCGGGGATAGGAGTGAGGATAGTCAGCGAGACTATGTGCTCTCTCCTTCGAGGAGTGTCACTTCAGGCATTTCAAAGGTGTGTGAGAGCCTGGCTGGTGTGGCTCTCGGGTTGAGCATCAACCTATGCACCAAGAAGTTGCTGGTTTGATTCCTGGTCAGGGCACATGCTGCCCAGGTTGTGGGCCAGATCCCCAGTAGGGGGCCTGCAGGAGGCAGCTAATCGATGTTCTCTCTGTTCGATGTTTCTATCTCTCTCTCCCTCCATCCCTCTCTAAAAAATAATAATAATAAAAATAAAGAAAAATATTTTTTAAAAAAAGAGAATTCCCAAAGGTGTGTTAGCCTAGATGCACAAGAACAATGACTTAAAACCTTTCACTAAAGAAGCGACAGGCCTGGTGCATGACAACCCCCATGACCTAGCCAGTTAGGAATAATGATCAGATCACCCTGTGAGGCTACTTTCCATAGAACTATTTTTTTTTTTTTTTTGGTACATGCCCCTAGCGGGAACCGAACCCGCAACTCTCTGGTCCTCAGGCTGACGCTCCAACCTCTGAGCCAAGCTGGCCAGGGCAAACCATTTTTTCACCCACAGCTCCCACCCTACACTTTTGCTGGGCTAGCACCTGATTCTCTGAGAATTAGTTCAGGCCTCACCTACTCTACAAAGTCTTGCTCATAGGCAGCATTTGGCCACACTGATGAGCTACACTGTGTAGCTGGTGACTTGCTGTTTCCACTCAATCAGCAGGTTTCTGGCACAACTGGCCTGAATGTTATATTTCTTTGTATCTCCCGGGTGCCTGCCACAGTAGTAGGCAAACAGTGAACGAGTGAGAAGACAGACTTGTGTGTATGAGTTTTGTAAATCGAGATCAATGTTTCAAGATTGAAAATGAGCCCCAGGCAAACTGCTCCTGGGTGCTCCCCTCCCCCCAGAACCATCTATATGCTCGAGTGTTTAAATATTCTCTACATAAATAACTGCCACAGAATCCTATCCCTCCATTCTCCAGTTTCCCAGAATTTTCAGAGTCTATAACAGTAATGGATGTTACTGGCCTACTTAAGATAAGATGATCCTGATCGGTTGTTGTGTTCCTGGGCTGAGTCAAAGGAAATTGATGTTTCCAGAGTTTAACTTAATCAGGGTTATATGAAGTAACTTCGGCTCCATTCGGCACAAAGTTCTCTTGTTTCTCTAGAAAATATTCCTTTTACTGAATGATTATTTTGCCCTAAAAAATTATCAAAACAAAAAAAGATGATGGCAAACAACATAAAGGTCTTCTAAACAGTTTAAATTGCTTTAAATCTGGGTATGTATACTCTAAAAATATGCATTGGAATCAATTCAAAAGTTTGAAAGGCTAAAAGGCATTTCTGAAGAATAGGTGTCTGCTTGTGGAAACTGCAAGAGTAGGAGAGACCCTCACGCCGCGGACTTGTCCCACGGCGGTAATCCACCCTGTCCTGGGTACAGGCAAATCCCACCTCACTGGTAGGTCCCTCTGCTACACCCCAGTATGGGTGTGGCTGGCTCCCGACTGTCCCCTAGATCTCAGCAGATATATCCTCCTCCTAGGCACCTTCCTGGACCACCCGTTGGTATGCACAGACCCAGGCAAAAGGCCTGAGGCTGAAACTCAGCCTCCAAGGGAGGGCTGGGAAAGACTGAGGGCCATCCAGGGCAGTCTGCCAGTTACAAGTTCATCAAGGGAAGTTCACATACAAGGCAGGACGAAGTGGGTCTCCTCCATGCACTTGGCTGCTAAAGAATCCTCTGTAGCAGGGCAGGATGGGTGGGGTACCGGCGACAGAGAACAGCAACCGCCTTCCTGCTCGCCCGGGGCAGGAACCAGCACGCCGGGGCACAGGAAGAGGGTTGATCCCACGGTCTGTGAGGGGATTTGGGGAAACAGTCTCTTCTCTGGCCCCTCTAGTTCTCTGGCCTGGCAGCGGCTGAATCATGGGACAGTCTCTCCTCCATGACACCTTAGTAAAGTCACATCCGCCCCACCACTCCATCCATTTCTTCTGTTATCACCACCTGAAAACCTGGTATTATTATGGGGTACACCTTTGTTGCCAGATGCCCTGCTCAGCCTGAATGGAGAAGGGAGAGCCGGGTCTGTCTCCCTCACTGACGCAGCTCGGGGCCCAGGGCACGGAATATTTGGGGCGAAGGACCTCGCTCCGCAGCCCTGCACACACACCTGTCCCCTGCGGCGGCTCCCAGGCGGCTCCCGCCCCAGCCCAGCGCCGCTCGCTCCCGCTCCGAGTGGGTGTCAGCCGGCAAGGGCGAGAGCAGACCAAAACCTGAGCTCTTTCCTCCTCCTGAAAAAGCACTGATATTACTCAGGGACGGCTGCTACTGCTGCCGTTTCCATGCCCTGGTATATCCCAAGAGTGTGCTTCTCGGAAATGGAGATGTTAGCAGAGCTGCCAGTAGCTAAGACTCAGTTTCTGCATTCCAGGTTAATTCCAAGAAGGAATGCCAAGTGGACCTGGTGTTCACCACGGAGCGCTACAACCCGGGGGTAAGCTGCCGTATCTGATTAGCAACTCGTAGGAATTTATTTTTAAAAAGCATATTGCCCTGGCTGTGTGGCTCAGTTGGTTGGAGTGTCCTCCCATACACCAGAAGGTTTCGGGTTCAATGCCTGGTCAGAGTGCATACACAGGTTTTGGGTTCTCTCTCCCCCTCTCTCCTTTCCTCTCTGTCTCAGAAAAAAAAAAAAAAAAAAAAAAAAAATCCTTGGGTGAAGATTTAAAAGGAAATGTAGTGACCTGGAGGGATTTTTCTGTCTTTATTTCTATTTGTTTCCAAGGACTGAGGAACAGAGCGAGGCAGGAAACCCAGATTTCAGTCCCGCGACGTGGCGTCCCTCTGCAGGCTGCTGGCCACCCAGCCCTCACTCCCTCCTTCCCGGCCTGGGAGGGGACTTCACAGCTCCCCCGGCCCCTCCCCAGCACCTCAGAGTCCTGAGAATGACTCACTCTCAAATGCCAACCTGCTCCTCTTCCCGTCAGCTGGTGACATTTCTCCCTAGCAGACCAGCTAGCGCAGGCCCCTTCGAGGAGCTGCCAGCTCAGAGGCTTTCTGTGAAGCAGGCAGGGCCATGCACGCCACCAGGCAGCCACGGTCGCCCGTTTCCTTCCCTGCCCTCAAGAAGAGGGTACACAGAACACGTGAAGAAATCAGAGCCCACCTCCCCCCTCCCCCCCCCCCCCCTGGGCTGAGCTGCGCGGCAGCGACGGGGTGGGGTCAGCCCAGACGCTCTGTGGTGCTGAGCCCAAGGGGCCAGAGATGAGCAGGCAGCGGCGCACCCCAGGGTCCCCCAGGCAGAGCTTCGGAGGGGAGGCCATGCCCCCAGCCCGAGGCTTCTGGAAGAGTACTTGCCAGTATTCAGAAACAAGTCCTAACAAGACAACGGCATACTCTGAGTTTGCTCATTAACTTAAGAATTAAAAATTTTCCTAAAGCTTAAGGAAGACGCCTTTAATTTCCGGTGCTGCAGACGGAAAGTGTTAGATTAAAGCTGAAGAAAAAACAATTATTTCGACCGACATTATGTTTCTCTGATGAGCACAGCTAGCTAATGAAAGTGTTCCGTTTCAGGGGGTGAGGAGAGTCCTTGCATCTCCAGACAACTGCTTTGTTTCTGTGCTGTTTGGGGGAGGAAATACGGAAAGCAGAACAGAAAGGGGCGAGGCCTGGCTTTTTCTCTTCTCTGGAAACGTCTTTGACATCAAAGGAGACAGTCCAGCCTGGCTTCTGCCTTTGATGAGTCTCTTCCTGATGCTCTTCACCTCTTTTTCTACACTGCACTATTTATGAGGAGTTTCCTCATAATAATAAATATATAATAATAATAATAATAATAATAATAAATGTCCTCATGGACATTCCCTCGCAAAGGTAGCACTCACTTTCCAATAGCAGATGACTATTGGAAAGCCCATAAGCAGGTCTAATTTTTTAAAAAATATATGTTTGTATTGAATTTTTAGAGAGAGAGGAAGGGAGAGATAGAAACACTGATGTGAGAGAGAAGCATCGATTGGCTGCCTCCTGCACGCCCCCTACTGGGGATTCAGCCAACAACCCCGGCACATGCCCTGACCGGGCATCAAACTGAGACCTCTTAGTCCATGGGACGACGCTCATTCCTCTGAGCCACACCGGCCAGGCAGCAGATCCAATTTTAATAAGTTTGGTTCCTTGTGGGCTTTTTCTTTTTAAGCTTATTTTTGGTTGTTGTTTAGAGAGTCCATCCAGTTTATATGACTGAAAAAGTGAAAAGAATTGAACAACTTGACCAACCACATTACAATAGAGTTCTTCCCTCGGGCCCATGAAGGGTGGGAGGGGCCAGGACTAGGCCCAGGCACTTCCTCAAGTTCCAAGCCCAGTGCTGATGGGATGCATTTTTCCTAGGACTAGGTTCCCTGGCTTTTATTGTCGGGTTATGGGCTATGTGACCTTTTAAAAGGGTGGAGAAATGAGTCCCACCCTCAACGTCCACTTGAAGCATCCACCGCCTATCCAGGTGTCTGTGGAGGGAGCAGAGGAAGGGTGATCCCAGCGTGCTCAGCACGTGCGGTTCACCTGTGAGTGCACGCACGCCTGGGCAGGCCGACAGGTGATTAGTGCCCTCGAGATCTCGAGCACAGGCGTGGAGTGAGTGCAGAGCAGGGCTTTGGGCGCAGACAGACATGAGCTCCACCTAGCTCACCTCTCCCTAGTGTGAGACATGGAGTAGCTGCCTCTTTACCCGTCAGTATCTTAATCTGTAAAATTGGAATAAGAAGACCAAGTTCATGAGGCAGCGTGAAGATGTTGCCATTTTTGTTAATAGGAACCAGCTTCACCTTCTGGTTCAAGTTAGCAAGCTGAGGTCCAATGAAGCATTTTGTTGGTGCACAGAAGAGGGGAGTTCCCACTCTCCCAGAGACTCTCGCAGAGGCTGGAGCCGGGCAGTGCTCACGAGACATCAGCGGTGTTCCTTTGGGACAGACCCAGCATTATTTTATGAGGGCACCATCAGAAAGCAGAAGTTTAAATGACAGCAAAGAGTGAGGCATGATTGTGTTCAGCTGTGAGCACAGAAATTGTTTTCTGCAAAGCAAAGGCCGCTACATCTTTGAGCCCGAGTCCTGCCATGGACACGGAGCTTCTCCCGTCTTGTGTGTGTGTGTATTGGGGTGGGTGGGGAGTGAGAGGGAACCGATCTATTTCAGTCCAAAATCTTTATTTCAGGAAGGTGAGGAACATTTGGGGAAATGTTCTGCTCGAGTGTTTTTCAGGGGTGAGAAACCCAGACCGGCCGTCAATGTCACCTGCACACGGTTCATCGAGAAGAGCAAAAGGCAACAAGAGGATTTCCAGCTTTACCAGCACATGAAGCAACTCAAAAGCCCCTTGGATGTAGTCAGCATACCTGGTAGGAACCAGTATCTGGAATTTCTATGTTCAGAAATGTATGTAATTACAAAATCTTAAAAAGAGGGATCATTTAAGTTGTTATCCCCCAAATGGCACTTTAATCCAACTATAAAATGGGGTACACCTTGTTATTTAAACAAAGCTCAGAAGCACCCTTTTCCTGTTCTTCACCTCGAGGGCAGTGTAGGATCTGTATGCCCTTTTCATCTCCCGGACGAGGGAGACGGGGTGAGTCTCCAAGGAGTTGGTAGAAGTCTTGAAAACAGGATGCAAACATGGGGGTGGGGGGGCGCCTTTCCAGGTAGAGCCCAGAACCTGAGGGGACATTTCCAGTGGTTTCTGGTGGTGGCTGTGGCTAGTTGAAGTGACACCATGCAGGGCCTCCACGGTGCCCTCCCTGGCCGTCCGCCCAGGGGCTGGTGGAGCGACTGTCTCAGGCCTTGCTGCGAGGCCGCAGGGCAGTCAAGTGGTCTTGTTTTAGAGCGAGAGCTAATGGGTAGCGGTGCCATCTGGCAGCGTCAGCGGGAGCGCGGCAGAGCCCATTCGTCCTGCGGGCAGCAGCCCACGCTCGGCACTTCCCGGCAAATTCGATTTCCAAAGCCACAGAAGTCATCTCTGGGTTTGCACTTGGGTATTGAGCTTGACATTTGACCGCGGCAGCACTTCCCGTCCCACACTCCGTCCGGCACAGTCCGCTCACCTGCGCAGACTGTGCCAGGCCCGCGAACACGGGACGCTCCGTCCCTCCTTGGACTCCAGGCTAGCGCCCCTGCGCCCCGGCAGTTTACGGAGGCCGGTGTCCTTCCAACCTGGGGGTGGAACAGGATTCTCGCATTTCTCAAGTTCAGGAGCACCGCCTGAAATAAATGGGCTGATAGGAAATACTTAAAATACATAGTTATTCGGGGATTTTTTTTTTCCTCTTTAGCATTAGTTGGGGAAATAGGGTTTTGTACATCCTCCTTAATACACAAATTTTAGAAATTGTATAGGACCTCTTCTTTGAAGATTTGACACAATATCACTAGATTTTGGACACTTTTTAACAGTGCGGGTTAGCTGGCTCATGTTCAGTAATAAGTCCTATATGCCCACAAGGATCATTCCATAACAATCTAACTTAGTGTGGCTAGTATATAGCATAAAAAAATTTTTAATAGAAGGTACCTTTTTATCAACAAAATTTGTAAGTTCTCTTGTCACTTTAAATTCAGCAGAGACATTTAATGCCTATCCATATATATAAAATTATCTAATTTAAACTGAAAAAATGTGGTTCTAGATAAAGTGAATCGGAACCACGGAGATATCCTTGGAGTAGCCAGGTCCGATCTCAGCAGACCCCCAGTATTTGATCAGTCCAAGGCTGGGCCACAGCGGAGCAGAGGCCATTGAATCCTCTCCAGGATGTCCTCACTTTACACGGCCTTTCCCTAAAGGAGTAGTGGTCTGGATTTCATGACGAGTAAAAAATTTCACTTTTCCTAATGAATTCATAAACTTCCTATAGATGAGCCCACGTGCCCTGCACCAGAAGGGCTGAGGGGACAGCCCGCTGACGTCCCTCCTTGGACTTCAGGCCAGTGCCACCAGGACTTCCATGTTCACATGTCCTCCTTGTTCACCGTATTCGCTGTCACTGGGTTATCTTCTCGGCTAATGGGTGCTAATCTCACAGGTCCACTAACAGTTATCTCATAAGTTACTTGCTAAAATTTGAGTTCCTAAAAGTCAAAAGAGGTCAGTTGTTACTCACTGCATCCCTCCCTCTAGCAGTATCTGATATTAAGCAGGGATGTTTTGCAAATGTTTGCTGAATTAAAAAGATTGCAGGTCCAAAAACAGTATCACAGAAAAAAACCCACTTGATTCCTTCATGTGTTCAAAACAAGGGACAGAGATGTTTGTGGCCAACGCACCACCAGAGAAGGACAAACATGGCGGGAAGACGGGCCATGGCCTGCGCAGTGTAGACCCCAAACCAGGGGTGCTGTGGGGAAGATAACTGATAGACACTGTGATCTAACAAGATTTTAGATTAACTTTGCGTATCATTACAGCTCTCACTTTGCATTTATGTAGTAACATCGGATAGCCCTGGAATTGTTTATAGTTGCTTTCCCCGAAGCGTGTAAATCTCAGTGTAATGTAGAAACAGGTACAAATTGCGCTGAAGGTCTTGCTGTGAGAGAGATGACTAAGCCCTTATTTAATTACTGAAATTTCTGAAATTTTGTTCCCAACATGCTTAATACTATTTTTTTTTTTAATTGTGTGCTCTCAGACAGTCATGGACACATTGATCCTTCTCTGAGACCCATCTGGGACTTAGCTTTCCTTGGCAGCTCTTACGTGATGTGGGAGAAGACGACGCAGTTCTCACACTACTACCTGGCGCAGCTCAGCAGCGTGCAGCAGTGGGTAAGACGCTGCGATGCACGTGCACAGGACACGGCCAGGGCAGGGGCTTGGACTGAGTTCGCGTGAGTGTCCCATCTCACGGCAGGCGTTCCATTTGCACGTCACTCACTCACTCAATATTCTAATGGGCCAGGCGTGTATTGGGGCGGACACAGCAGTGAACAGAAAACACCACGTAGCTGCCGCCACGCAGATGGGGTCTAGTGCGGGGAGATGAGAGACGGTGAACTAATGAACAAGGAGATATGGAGGCAACGGTGCTGAGTGCCCTGGAGAAAAGCTAGGCAGGGACAAGGGAGCGCAGGTCTTGACACAGTGGCGCCTTGCACGGTCTGAAGTAGGGCCTGCCTCCGGCTGGGAGCAGAAGTGCCGCTGGAGCGGGGAAGGCAGGTGAGAGCCCGGCTCCCTCAGGGGACGGCTGCAGCAGAGGGAGCTGAAGCAGCAGGGCTGCTGGGCTGGGCAAATGTCCCGAGGCCCGTGTGGCTGAACAGCAGCTGGGGCAGTGCCAGGAGGGGCCAGTTCATGCAAGGCTGGAGGCTATGAGAACTCTCTCTCCTACTTACTATGCGGTGTTCGCGCGGAGTGCCGTGATCTGACTTACAACAGGACCATTCTGGCTGCTCTGCGGAGAACAGAGTGTACAGACACGAAGGTGGAGGCGGGCGGCCAGTCAAGTATCGCGATAACCCAGGCACGGCCTGCAGGGAGCTCGGCCCGTGCTAGCCGCGCCGGTGGTGAGAAATACTTGGATTCGGGATATGTCCTGAAGACAGATGGAGACTGTTTGCTGATGGGTTGGATATGGACAGCAGAGGGTGAGAAAAGTCAAGGGTGATTCGTAGGAATTTGGCCTAACTGGAAAAAAAAAGATTTCATTTACCGATTGGAGAAGACTACAGGAAAAACAGATCTGGGGGAAATTAGCTTGATTTGGGGCATACTAAATTCTATATCCAAGTAGAGAATTTATAGAATCATCTGTATATAAGAGTCTTGGGTACAGAGAGAGGTCTGGGCTGGAATCATCGTCCTGTTGATGGTTTTTTAGGCCACAAGACCGGATGAGATCACAGAGAATGAGTGTTGTACAGAAAAGAAAAGAAGTTACATAAGGGTTGAGTCCTGGAACACTTCTAACTTTAGAGGCTGGAGACAGAAAAGAAAGTGGCTCAAGGAGGAGGACCGACTGGCTGTAGCAGACGCTGATGGAAAGTCGAGAAGACAGAATTAACCATTTGATTTAGGCAGCGGGAGGCCATGGGAGCTTATCAAGAGCTGTCTCCCCGGCACAATGTGGGCAAAAGCCTGACCGGAGTAGGCTCAGAAGAGAACAGGGGTAGAGGAGGTGGACACTCCACCTCTTTCTAAACAATTGGCCTTAGAGGCGGGTAAAAGAAAGGAACGCGCAATAGCTGGAGGATGGGTGAGCGCAGGGCTGAAAGAGGGTGTGTTTCTGTTGTATTTTTAGGTTGGGAGATTTGACAGCATCATTTATATGTTGATGAGAAAAATCCAGTAGAGGGGGCAGTCAGACTTAAGAGGGTAAGATCAACCCAGGAGGTGATCTCGGGACATTGGAGAGTGCACCTGCAGGGGCAGAGAAGCGTGGCGGAGACCCTGGTAGGAGGGTAGACGTCAGGTGGTGGCTTATGGAATTCTGTTCTCACGGCTTTTGTCTTCTAAGTGACAAACGAGGCAGCCATGGGCTGCGAGCAAGCATGAGCAGGGCTGGGAGCGCGTGGACTTGAGCATCGGGCAGCACCGCGGGCCCTGGGACGCTGGTCACGTGTTTAGAGGAGGACCAGTGGCCCAGCTGTGTGGTATGGGCACGGATGTAGCCAAGGCTGGAGTTTTTGTCAGGCAAGTGTGAGGTAGAGAGAGGGGCATTTCCAGAGTAAACAAAATCAACTAGTCTGAGAGGCAAACTGAGCCAATTGCAAGTATAAATGTCTAAAAATTGCTTTCTTCGTGGCTGTGTGAAGCAGAGCATCCAGCCATGCGTGGACCTCCCAGAACCCTTGGTGAGCCTTCCAAAGGCCATTTGTGAAAACATAGTTTTTCTCTCTACTCATCAGAAAGAACACACTTCTTTCCCTTTAAAGAGTGCTTTCTAATAGAAATTACCACTTAATTGATTATTGCTATATAACTAGATAAAACTTTCTCCCTCTTTCTCTCTCCTCCACCAAGAGGATCATATCCTCACCAAGAGGCGTTTACCTTAACTGAGAAGTTACGGAAATGTTCCTGTTTACAGTGTAGAACATGGTGTCAGAATAATGCACGTGAGAGGAAAAGTCAACAGGAGCAGATCAACGCAGACACAACCGAGAAAAAAGCAGATCTTTCAACGCCAGCGTTTTCCTTTGTCTTACAGTGGTGCATGAGCCCGGTCAGACTAACCCCAGCACACGCCAGGGTTCGGAAACAGCAGCCCCATCTCTCTGCCGCCCTAGCCAGTCCATCACCTGTCCATTAAGGTCCCTCCACCGCCCCGCCAGCGGGCAAGTAGGAACAACGAAGTCTGGAGAACTAAAGTGCTGATTCATCAGGAACAATAGGAGTTTTAGGTTTTTTTACATTGTGGAGTTTGGGTTTTAGATGAGTAATAAATGAATATGCTACTGACCTGTTGGGTCACCCAAGACAAACCACCTCATCTCTTAGGGCCTCTTAAAGGAGGAACAGATTTACTGAAGTCCTTGACACTAACATAAATCTAAATCACTGAGTTCAACTTCCCAGTTAGCCTGTACCTTGTACCTGTTCTGTGTGGCATCCTGGAAGTACTGGTACCTGCCCCTTGCCTTATTGCCTGGCATATAAGGTTTCAAGGTTGATCGAGCATTTCAGCTTAGAGTTCTCCTAAAGCAAAGTATGCCCATAGCCACAGATTTTCAAATCTCACCATTCGGTGGCCACTAAAGTTTCCTGTGATCTTTCAGCAAAAAGAGCAACATGGCAACAAGCAATGATTTTTTTTTAAATCCTCACCCAAGGACATTTTCACTGATTTTTAGAGAGAGGGAAAGGAAGATAGAGATATAGAGAAACAAAGATGTGAGAGAAACATGATCGGTTGTCTCCTGCACACCCCCTACTACCCCCCAACTGGGGCCTGGTATTGAACCAGAGACCTAGTCATGTGCCCTGACTGGGAATGCAACCCAGGACTGACTGGCCAGGGCAAGCAACACTTTTTTTTTAATAGTGAAAGTAAAATGTAATTTTATTTTATTTTTCATTTTTTATTAATTTGTTTTTGTTACAGATGTTTCTCATTTTTCCCCCATTGACACCCTTCTCCCCTTCCCCTCTGTCCCATCCCTAGCTTTGTTGTCTATGTTCATTGGTCATGCATACATGCATGGAAGTTCTGTGGTTTATCTCTTCCCTCACAAACCCCCCTCCTCTAAGGCTTATCAGTCTGTACCCACCTCTATGTTTCTGGGTTAATTTTGTTCAGCAGTTTGTTTATTTAGTTCATTATATTCCACAAATAAGTGAGATCATGTGATACTTGTCTTTCTCTGATTGGCTTGTTTCGCTTAGGATAATACTTTCCAGGTCCCTCCATGTCATCTCAAATGATAAGAGGTCTTTCTTTCTTACAGCTGCATAGTACTCCATTGTGTACATGTACCACAGCTTTTTTTTTTTTTTATCCTCACCCGAGGACATTCTTCCATTTTTTGTACAGATAGAGTGAGAGTGAGAGAGAGGAAGGGAGAGAGAGTGAGAAACATCGACGTGAAAGAGACACATCGAGTGGCTGCCACCCGCACGACCAACCAGGGCTGGGGACAAACTGCAACCGAAGCACGCGCCCCCAGCGGGAACCGAACCCGGGTCTCTCCGGACCGCAGGCCGATGCTCTAACCGCTGAGCCAAACTGGCCAGGGCAACCACAGCTTTTTTATCCATTCGTCTACTGATGGACATTTGAGTTGTTTCCAGATCTAAGCTATTGTAAATAGTGCTGCTATGAACATAGGGGTACATGTAGTCTTTCTGATTGGTGTTTCAGGTTTCTTAGGGTATATAAGCAACACTTTTTAAAAAGTCACTAAGACTGGACAACCCAGGTACCACCCCGGGAGACTAGAAGCAGGACGGCAGGGCTGACAAAGCCAAGGCCACCAGCACAGGTACAGGAAGTGACTGAGGTGCTCTGCGGCCCTAGGTAGCTCAGGAGAGTACAGGGATTATGGTTTTTCCAAGTGCTTTCGGGTGAGAGTTACTGTCTGTACACTCAGGGTTAACGTGTGCAAGGCAGTGCAGGTCGCCAGACCCCAGCTGCAGGGAACAAAGCTCGCGGGAGACGTGGGCTACGACAGAAAGCACCGAGTACAAACACAAGGCCCGCCTCACTGGCACATTACTGCTTTAGAACCAAACAACCAGTGCCGTTCCCAGTACCACGAGGACTGTGCCGGGGCTGGGGAGGGATCTGCTGGCTAGAGGGAAAAATGGACAAGGACTGTCCCTACACCCTTGGCCTTTAACACGAAACAAGAAAAGCAAAACTGAGCATCGTTCCCACTCTTATCAATACAGATTCTGTCAGCAGCCCAAACTACCTAACTGCCATGCATCCCTGTCAATAAGCTAAGTCCTGCCGTCACCAGAGCCCCCAGTGGCCAAGGGTACGTTATAGAAACCATCTTAGCTGCCTTATTTATTCAGCTAAGAAATCTACTTTAGATGGGATCCGATAGCCGCCTAAACCTACTTACTCTCTAGTAAAACCACACTGGTTCTTCTAGGGATCCTTCTTTTTTGGGGGGATGTGGGTGAGGGTGGGGTGGGTGACGAGTAAGTAAAAGGGAACAAACAAAGCACTTCCAGTCTGTCTCTAGGAAGATTAAAGTGCTGAGTTACCAGAAAATGTCACAGTAAATCATCAATTTGGACTCTAATGATTTGGCATTTTGTGACGATCTGAATAGATGCCAAGGAGATTATTTCTGAATAATATTAAAAATAATGACTTCTTGGCCGAGCTCCATTTGGTGAGGACAGTGCAACCCTGGAACACCTTGGCAGGCGGGGAGGTACAGGGTTCCAAGCATTATAATAAAGCAAATGTTTGCATTAAAAATGGGGTAATGCTGTGTGTTTAGCGGAACAGTTCGTCAAAGGGAGTTGGACTCCCAGTTTCCAGCCTTGCCTTTTTTGCCAAAAATCTGGAGAATGCCGTGATTTCCTTCAGAAATGCTATTTTCAGAAACAGAATAAGAAGGCATTATTGGCCTGAAAAACACTTTAAGTTGATAAGCAAAACCAATTTTTTAGTTATAGAAAAATCCACCGTTAATAGTCAGGCCCCGAGAAATAGGGCAGGCAGCACAAAAGCCTGAGACAAAAATCATAGGACACAGCAGCCTGCTGGTGTGAGCCATCTGGAGATCACCTTTTCCTTCCAAGGTCAAGGCAGGGTCGAGCAAAATGAGGGTCGAGGAAAAAAGAGACTCCGAATTCTCTCTGGCTTTGCAGTCTGTGCCTCAGGTACTTGCTTCGAACACTGACAGGTACACCGCCAGGCAGGAGGGACGGAACATCCCAGCCATGCAGACAGCATAGACAAGCAGCCACTTGCTGATCAATCCAGGCCGCTCTCGCTCTCGCTCTCCTATCTTCTTCCTGTGGTGCCTCCCCTGCCCCCTCCCCACCTCCTGGAAATTGCATGGCTTGTAAAATCTCCATCATTTTAAGCAAAATTTGATATCAAGTCCTTCTGTTTGTCTTTGCTTTCCTATATATATATTCTTTAATAGTCTCAGTAAAAACCTGGTAGGTTAATATTATAATCCAAGTTGAATTTATTTTTTTATTTCTTTTCTTCCATTTTTACTAGAGATAAGCACCCTAGCCCCGCTCCCCATCAAACCCAGGAAGTGTCAAAAACCAAATAGGACATTGGTTTAGTCTCTAGTAAAACTCAGAGAGATCAAGTGAGTAGGAGACGTTAGGAAGACGGCCTGCCGCTCTGTAGGTCAGCGGTGCTCTGGGTTCAGGGGCGGTGTGATGTAGCACAACGCGTGTGGGCGGTGGAGTCGATAGCTCTGGGTTTGAATCCCCATTTGACACTTGCTAGCTGTAACCTCAAGCTACATATCTGTAAAACCAGGCTCATAGTTCATACTCTTGTAAGGCAGTCAGAATGACATGAAAATATGAATGAAGTGCGTAGCGCAGAACCTGGCCTCCGTGGCATCCTCGAAGTACCGGCTGCCCTGCCCCTTGTCTATTGCCTGGCAGGTCAGGACTAACATATCAGCCTGAGGTACATACACAGTATGCATGTAGACTCCTAACGTTGTCAAAAGATTCTCCCTATCCCCACCACCTTAGCCTCCATCAAAACCCTTAAATATTAGAGAAAAAGTGATAGAAAGACATTCAACTAGATTTTTATATAACATAGTGACCAAACAGTAAGAATCTGTGACTTCCATATCTTGATGCAGGGTCCTACCAAAGGGAAATGAGACTATAGTCCAAGAGGCAGAAGGAGATTCAAGGCATCCATCCAATTTATAAGATAAGCTCTCCCAATTCTGAGCTGACATAAACCTACCTATTTATTACACTAACTCTGTTTTCCTTCCTCTAGAAAACAAATGACGACGCAATTGATTTCACTTACACTGTTCTACTCCATGAATTCTCAACACAGGTAAAACACAAAATTATATGTAGAATTGTTTTCACCAGAAGAGTCTGTAGGTCATAGTATTTTAAAACTCTTATTTCCTAGGAAATGGTTCCCTGTCGTATTCACTTGGTCTGGTACCCGAGCAAACCACTTAAAGTGAAGTACCACTGTCAGGGGCTGCAGACACCAGAAGAAGCCTCTGGAACTGAAGAGGGATCAGCCGTGGCACCGACAGAACTTGGCAATTTCTGAAAAGAAAAGAAAGATCTGCCCACCCCAAATTCTAAACAAAGTGACTGTACTCAATAGCCTAAATAATTATTCTAGCAAAATAGCCGAGGTCCAAGGCATTCTAATAATTCAGGGAAGCCTGCGATGCTCAAAAATGAAAAGATGCTGGGGTTTTTAAAGGTAATATATTGCCATGAAAGCAGATTGTAGAAAAATACTATCTCTTTAAGAAGAATTCTACTATTTTTTATGATTTCAAGCAAGTATTCTTTTATAACTTGATAGCTACTTTTAAATAAATGTTTACATTTCTAAACAAAATGTGTTAAATGTTTGTCTATGCAGCGAATTCTGCACTAAGATGGATGTAAATGAACTCTCAATACTGTTTAATTCATATTCTACAAATAAAAATATAGGATGTCTCATGGATAAAGCTGTCTGCAAATGTGTATTAAATGGAACAGTGATGTAATTGAAAGTAAATAGATCAAGTATTTACAATTTTCATTTTCAAGGACAACTTGAACCCAGTGTGGGCCTAAGTAATTTACAGCAGACACAATATGTATCGTAACCCGACTCAGCGGAGCACCTCCGCGAGGCAGGCAGAATGGGTCCGGGAGACCCTCTCAGAATCAGTATCGTTTAACGGAACGCTTACATCCGTGTGTAAAAACACGTGGCCAGATTCCTTGGCTAGTAATTGGTTAGGAAGCATCAGCTTTAAAACATATACCAAAATTCTAGTTTTTAAGTCTGCACTATTAGAAAATTGGAAAAATCTACATGGAAGAGAAAAAAAAATTTAAAGATGTGGATTCATACAAAATAAAAGATGGATGATACTGTTACTTTTTAGTAAATCTAGTTTATATTTTCTGTTTAAAACCCCAACCCTTTACATTCATCTTCCCAACATCCACTTGATTTAAAGAACTGTAAGTATTCTGAAGCACTAGAAATAGTCATTTAAAGAAAACATCAGATCTCCCACCTGTCATAATGCAGAGAAAACGCTTTTTCTAAAATATCAATCTACAATGATTAAATCATGCCAAAATCAAAGGATAAACCCCTCTAACTGAAGTTCCCTGAATAAACTTCAAAAAAGGTGCCAAGAGCATTGCAGTGGCATATTCAACATCCTGTGACCTTTAATCACTCTTGTGGTGTCGCTTTAAGGACTAGAGGGGGTTTCAGCTTCCCAGAGTCTCACCTCATCCTCATAAAGGCATTTTTAATTGGTGAGATTATACTCAAGCATAACTATAATTCAATCAGGCCAGGACTCTACAGCAGTGGTTCTCAACCTTCCTAGTGCTGCGACCAACCCTTTAATACAGTTCCTCAAGTTGTGGTGACCCCCAACCATAAAATTATTTTTGTTGCTACCTCATAACTGTAATTTTGCTACTGTTATGTCTTAGGCGACCCCTGTGAAAGGGTCGTTTGACCCCCAAAGTGGTCGCAACCCACAGGTTGAGAACCGCTGCCTAAGGTAACCCTTTAACATATTTATTTCGGTATGAAGGGGAATTCCATACACACCAACAACATACAAACACAATTACCTAATTAATAAATTTACAAAACCTACAAGTTAAACCTACTAAAAATTTCTCCCTATGGGAAACAATATGATGTTTCCTCTAAAAATTAAAAATGGAACTGCCAAGGGACCCAGTAATCCCACTTCTAGGAATATACCCTAAGAAGCCTGAAACACCAATCAGAAAGAATATATGTACCCCCATGTTCATAGCAGCACGATTTATAACAGCTAAGATCTGGAAACAGCCAAAGTGTCCATCAGTAGACGAGTGGAGAAAAGAGCTGTGGTACATGTACACAATGGAGTACTATGCAGCAGGAAGAAAGATCTATTGACATCTGGTCAAGATGGCAGCATAGGTAAATGCAGTATCGTGTCCTCCCACAACCACATCAAAGTTACAACTAAACTACAGAACAACCATCATTCAAAGCCGCCTGAAATCAGGCTGAATGGAAGTCCTACAACTACGGAATTAAAGAAGAAGCCACATCCAGACTGGTAGGAGGGGCAGAGGCGGACAGGCTGGTCCCATACCCACGTGTGGCAGATAAAAACCAGGACACCTCGGCTGGGAAGGTCCTTCCTGAGGACTGAGGGGTCTCAGTCCCACATGAGGCACTCAGCTCAGGGTTCCAGTGCCAGGAAGAAAAGTCCCCATAACTTCGGGCTGGAAAAACCAGCGGGAACTGAGGCTGAGGGAGGCTGCGGCGGCTGGAGCCCCAGGCAGCTCCTCTTAAAGGGCCCGCACACGAACTTATTCAGACTCACACCCTCCAGGCTCCAGCATGGGGAAGGTAGCTTGAAAGGCACCAGAGACATATGGGGAAGAACTGAGTTGTTTGGCATTGCAGCGAGGTCTGATGTGCTGTCAGAGGCCTTTGTTCCTTTGGTGAGCTCTTCCCCCACAAGGCCAGCAGACAGCCACCATATCTGAGACTCCAGCAACCTGGTTCACACTGGTTGCCCCACCCTGGTGATTCCCTGAGGCCCCGCCCCACCCAACTTTCAGGCCCACCCAAGCTGTTGCCAGTTGCTTAACCATAGGATTGGCCTGTCTTGGATCCTGCTTCAGGTTTTCCTAAATTCTTTCAAACAAGCAGCATCTGGTCTCAGCTAGCCTCATACCTCTCGTTAAGTAATACACAGAAAGAAACACAGAGGCAGTCAAAATGAGGAGACAAAGAAACAGGTCCCAAATGAAAGAACAGAACAAAACCCCAGGAAAATAACTAAGCGAAATGGAGATAAGCAACCTAACAGATGCTGAGTTCAAAATACTGCTTATAAGGATGCTCAGTGAACTTAGTGAGGGCCTCAAGAGCATAAAAAAGGACCAGTCAGAAATGAAGGATGCATAGTCAGAAAGGAAGGAGGCACTAACTGAAATAAAGAATAATTTACACAGATTCAATAGTAGAGTAGATAAAGTCAAGAAGCAAACCGTTGATTTGGAATACAAGGAAGCAAAAAAAAAAAAAAACAACAAAACACCCAATCAGAACAGCAAAAAGAAAAAAGAATCCAAAAAAAATGAGGATAGTGTAAGGAGCCTCTGGGACAACTTCAAGCATGCCAACATTCGCATCATGGGGGTGCCAGAAGGAGGAGAGAGAGAACAAAAAATCGAAAATCTATTTGAAACAATAATGGCAGAAAACTTCCCTAACTTGGTGAAGGAAACAGACATACTAGTCCAGGAAGCACAGAGTCCCAAACAAGATGAACCCCAAGAGGCCCACACCAAGACACATCATCATCAAAATGCAAAAGGTTCAAGACAGAGAGAGAATCTTAAAAGCAGCAAGAGAAAAGCAGTTAGTTACCTACAAGGGAGTTCCCATAAGACTGTCAGCTGACTTCTCAAAAAAAACTTTGCAGGCCAGAAGGGAGTAGCAAAAAATATTCAGAGTGATGAAAAGCAAGAACCTACAACCAAGATTACTCTATCCTGCAAAGCTGTCATTTAGAATCGATGGCCATATAAAGAGTTTCCCAGACAAGGAAAAACTAAAGGGTTCATCACCACCAAACCATTATATGAAATGTTGAAGGGTCTTCTTGAAGAAAAAGATAAGCCCTGGCCGGTTTGGCTCAGTGGTTAGAGCGTCGGCCTGTGGTCCTGAGAGACCCGGGTTCGGTTCCCGCTGGGGGCACGTACCTCGGTTGCAGTTTGTCCCCGGCCCTGGTCAGTTGTGCGGGTGGCAGCCGCTTGATGTGTTCCTTTCACGTCGATGTTTCTCTCTCTCTGTTCCTCTCTCTCCCTCCCACTCTACCTGAACAAAAAAATGGAAAAATGTCCTCCGGTGAGGATAAAAAAAAAAAAAAGAAAAAGATAAAAAATATGAACAAACAAAATGGCAATGAATACATATCTATCAATAATTGAATCTACAAACAAAATGAACAAACAGAACAGAAACATTCTCATAGATACAGAGAAATTTTGTTGGTTGCCAGATGGGAGGGGGTTGGGGGATTGGGTGAAAAAAGGTGAAGGGATTAAGAAGTACAAATTGGTTGTTAGACTGACAAACCTCAAAGGGAAGAGAGGGTTGGGAGGTGAGGAGAAATAAACCAAAGAACTTATATGTATATATGCATAACCAAGGGACACAGACAACAGTGTGGGGAAAGGCAGGAGGGGGGCGGAAATGGGAAGGAAGAGGTCAATGGGGGAAACATAAGGAACATCTGTAATACATTCAACAATAAAGATAAGTTAAAAAAGATCTATTACCCTTTGAGATGACATGGAGACACCTAGAGAGTATTATGCTAAGCAGAATAGGCCAATCAGAGAAAGACAAATATCACATGATCTCACTTATTTGCAGAATATAATGAACAAAATAGGCTGATGAACAAAATAGACCCAGAGGCTGCTTAGTCAGAGGGTACAGACTGACAAGCCTCAGAAGAGGGGGATGGAAGATAGGGAAGAGATGGACCATACATGGTTATGCATGTATGTGTAACCAATGGGCATGGACAACAATGCTTGGCAGGGGGCAGGATAGGGAGGAGGGTGTCAAATGGGGGAAAAAGGAGAAACATCTGTAACAAAAATAAATTAATAAAATCAATAAAAAATTCTCAATATCACCATTAGAACATCTTTTCTAACACAAACTGAAAAATTGCTGATTTGATTTTACAAATACTGATTTTGCTAGCTTACAGTAGAGAAAAATTACTTCATCTGCCTTGACATAACATGAAAAACTCTAAATTCCCTAAGCCCTCTTTTCATTAAGTCTAATTCCTTTTGAATCACTCTGAGCCAATGACAGTTATATACATACAGCATCACTCATTTTCCCAGCCTCTTGCAGAATTTTCAGGCATATCCATTAGTACCACTACATCCCATTTGATTCTACTCATAGTTTCATTTTTTTCCTACCTGAATTATGAATTGTTAGAAGTTAAACAAGTTCTTTTGAGAGTCAGTTGGGCCCTGGCCGGTATGGTTCAGCGGTTAGAGCGTTGGCCTGTGGTCCTGAGAGACCCGGGTTCGGTTCCCGCTAGGGGCGCGTACCTCGGTTGCAGTTTGTCCCTGGCCCTGGTCGGTTGTGCGGGTGGCAGCCACTCGATGTGTTCCTTTCACATCGATGTTTCTCTCTCTCTCTCTGTTCCTCTCTCTCCCTCCCACTCTACCTGAACAAAAAATGGAAAAATGTCCTCGGGTGAGGATAAAAAAAAAAGAGAGTCAGTTGGAAGTTTCTGTATTTGCCCTTGAATGATAGTCCTTCATGATATGAGTTCATTACATCCATCTTTCCCAGTTTAGCACCTGTTCTGTGACCTTTCCATGTCAC